TCCACCAGAATACAAGCTCTCCACAGGTGATGGTTTTTATTGTTTTACTCGCCGATGGCATCAGTAGTGGCAGGGGAGGTGCCTGATGCGAGCTCATGTGTGATAAAGACTGTTAAATGAATCAGTGTTTCATAAGGCTTTCCTCTCTTTACCAGGGCCTTCCAAAAGCCTCTGCACACATTTGGCAATTATTTGAAAATTTACCTATATTTATAGCTATTGTAGAGACTATTAATTGAAGTTTTCTTTGAAAATAAAATTGACATTATCACTAATTTTTTTCAAACAACTATCTGAATTATTTTGTGATGCACATCATATAGGAGAGATCTTTCTTTAAAAGCTCAATGGCAAAAAAAAAAAAAAAACCAGAAAAAACAAAAACAAAAAAATACCCCAAAAAACTACACTAGTTACAGAATATTCAGACCATATGGTTCAATTCAAAATACTGGGTGGTACAAAACTAACACTAGAATACCAGGAACGTGGGGTTGCACAAATCAAATACCAAGCAATTTATCATTAACTTTACCTTTCAGTAGCTTGGGTTAGATTTGTACCTGCCTTAATACCTTACCTTTGCTTGAGAAAATACCATTTGAAAAGAGAATACTACAGTTACCTAAAGCTGGGTTTGGCTGAGATAGTGGAGTTTACATTCCATTGTTGGCTAGATTCTTACCCCATGGAATGTCTCCGGATGCAATGCAGGCCAGGAAGAGGTTGGCAGTGCTTTGACCAAGCAGCAGGAAGGGATTATACATTGATTTATACTCCATCAACATTCTATATGTCAACGATCCATTAAATACTAGCTTTGAAATCACCTTCCTACTCTGTGAATGCCCAGTTGAAGGCACTTGAGTAAAGGAATCACTCCCTTGCATAACTTATGAACTGGGCATCTTTTATTATTCTTAAAGTATTTATTTATTTTTATATTGGAAAGGCAGATTTACAAAAAGAAACAGAAACAGAGAAAAAGATCTTCCATCTGCTGTTTCACAATCCAAGTGGCTGCAACAGCTGGAACTGAGCCGATCCAAAGCCAGGATCCAGAAAATTCCTTTGGGTCTCCCACATGGGTACAGGGTCCCAAGGCTTTGGGCCGTCCTCTGCTGCTTTCCCAGGCTACAAGCAGGGAGCTGGATGGGAAGTAGAACAGCTGGGACAGGCCCCCATTTGGGATCCCAGCACATCCAAGGCAAATACTTTAACCACTAGGCTGTCACAGCAGGCCCTGAACTGGGCATCTTAACCTCTCTGAATAATTTACTTTCCTGCGCACTCATTGTCCTCATCCGTGCTGGACAGGGAGCAGGAGGAATGCGTAACACTCTTACCAGTGAGTCTGCCTTGATGTCTGTATGCAATTGGGAACATGGGAAGTATCCACAGCTCAGGCTGTGGACACATACTCTTACCTAGGAGGACCAGCTGATCAAACAGAGGCCCCGCTGGGCTGGATCTTTCCCTGTGGGATGTGTTTGAGCAAACAAACCTATGTAATCAGAGAGCACACTGCAGTAAGCAGCTGCAGACTGAGGTCAGAGGCACCTGCAGGGTCTGTTTCAAATGGGCAGATTCCTCGTCCCACATACTCCACAAGTTTTGACTTGGAAGGTCTGAGAGAAGGCTAGAGAATCTGCTTTTTTGTTTGCTTTAAGTAAGGTGTACACACACACACACACACACACACACACACACAGACCGGGTGGGGTAGGAGAGACAGAAGAGAGCCAAACCACTATCATGTGGTGCTTCACTTCTCAAATGCTCACAGCGGCCAGAGTGGCCAGGATGGGATCAGGCCAATGCTGGCAGACAGACCAGAGCACAGCATGGGGCAACCCTATGGGTGACAGTGACCCACCTGGGAGCCAGCCCCTGTTGTCTCCAAGATGTACTTTGAGTACAAGCTGAAATCAGGAGCCGGGGCTGGGGACTAAACACACACCCTCCAGCTCTGCATGGCAGCATCTTAACCACTAGGCCAAACACCCACTATAGAATTTGCATTTTTTAAGAAGCCAACAGAAATACAAACATGGACCACACTTTGAGAACATCATTGTTAAGTCTAAATCAGGCTATTCAAACACTTCTCAGTAAATCCTTACAAAGAAATTGAATTCTTTTGCAAAACCATTAATCCATCTATTGGAGAGAAATTTATTCTATTCCTTGAGCCCTGGATTCTTGTATCTCAGGAAAATCTCTAGGCGGGCCGTAAGCCATCTTTCTGGGGACAGTGGATTTGCAAATGGACGCGTATGCGACCACATGCACTGTGAGGTGCACGGCCTATTTGCAGCCTGCTGCAAGTCTTATTTTAAATTCTGGAAACATCAGAGCTGCCAGGGCCATCATCCGCGTCAAAGCACACAGCTATCAACACCAAGGTTGGAGAGGAGTGAGGACAGTGAGGGGCGCCACACGCCCCGCACTGCGCACTGCCTCCAGCCGCTCCCCACTGTTGCTTGGAACCGGGAGGCGGTTCACGCAAGGTGACAGGGATGGCCCGCGCGTGGCTCAGCATGGAGAAATTCACACTGCCCCTGGCCGCCTGCCCCTTGGCATCTGCTCACTTACATTTTTACCCAATTACTATTTCTAAGAACAGAGACAAGGCGGGGAAAACCAAAGAGCTGCGGTGCTCAGCAACCTCGCGTGGTCGGGCCGAGAGGGGTCCGCGGGGACCTTCCGCAGCCTGTCAGCTGGGTGAATTCCCACTACTGAGAACGCCACTGTGTGCCCCACCGCCCCTTCCCCACCCCTGAAGACACTCCTGAAGGACCCGGCCTCGCTGAGGAGCAGAGTGAGGTTCCAGTGTTTTGTTTCTTTCACCAAAGGAAAGGGGAAGTTTGCAGTAAATAAGTGACCGAAAATAACCCCAAGTAGAAAGGAGTGTCTGAGAAGGAAAGATACCCAAAGAACCAGAGTAGGCCTCTGGACTTGTCTATGCTATCAGAGAAGAAAGAAAGGGGAAAGGAAATTAATGAAAGCACCAGAGAAGAAAGTTATCTAATTAATGATCCAGGACTCGAATAAGAACACAAAGGAGTGGGGGTAGGGAAAGTTCTACAAGCTTGGGGTCCCGGGAGTGTGGGATGAGCTCTCCAAGGAGGTAACTCGGTGACCAAGGACAAGGCAGTGACCTCTCTAAACCGCAACTTCCTGAGAAGGGGGAGCGTCCTACTGGCCGTCCCAGCCTGGCCAGCCTACGGGAGACGAGGGGGATGTGTTTGCTGTAAGTACATGGGACATGGGGTGTTCAACAAATCTTGTCCTTTCTTCACTCCCATCCCTTTTGCTTTCCAAAAACCTAATCAGCTAGTGGGGGACTCAAGATAGCTAACTCTTTGGTTTCAAGACTGACATAAATTGAAAATTTGGAGCATGAAAACAGAATATAACCTGTCACAAAAGGGAACTTTCAAAGTATAAAATCTTGCAGTCGTTTTAGTCCCACTGACTGCTTCGAAGCTCTCTGTGCTAAACTGCTTGCATACTCTCTACAGAGTCTGCATTCTTGTTTTGCTGTGTTTGAGGAATCCCGTAGGCCTCTGGGAATGAACTATTTCCTGATGCCTAAGTAATAAGGTTAGGCCATGTAAGTTACAGGATAGGATACGCAATAGACTAGGTTTCCTATAGCACACTGGAAACATTGCTTTGGTCCCAATCCAGGACATCCACACATTTAAGTTGCAGTCTCCCCCATGCCTCAGCACTACAGTGAAGCCGTGCCAGGATGGTAGTTCTACCTCTCATCCGCCAGAGTGAGGCTCCAGCACATTTCAGGCCCCCAAATCCTTCAATGTCAGGACCATCCAAGTCCTGCTGTTTAGGTGTGGCCGCAACAGCCTAACATACAGTCAGTGTTTAATAAATGCTACCCAAGGGCGAGCACTGTGGCTCAGCTTGGACACTGCTTCTTAGGACTTTCACATCCTGTACTAGAGCACTGGGATTCAGTTCCACCTCGGGTTCAGAGCTCCCTGCTAACACATAACCTGGGAAGTAGTAGGTAACGATTCAAGAACATGGGCCCCTGACACCCACGTGGGAGATCAGGATGGAATTGTAGCAGCCTACCAGTGACCGACCCCAGTCGTGCCTGTGGTGAACATTTGAAGGGTGAACCACCAGACAGAAGTACATTCCTGTTCTCATGAGCTCCTTTCTCTTTTTCTTCTTTCTTTCTCTTTGTCTCTCTTTCTTACTTTAAGCCTTTCAAACAAAATAAAGGACTTTATTTGGAAAAGTTCTGGCTGAGTAAGTAACATTCTAGAAAGGGTTGGAGATGTCTGCTTCGGTGCGCCTCTGCCTAACACACTGCACTGTATCTGAGGAGCGTGCACTTGGTCAGGGTCAGGTCTTGTACTTGGTCTGAGGGTCGGGTCTAAGCATTTTGAGCAGGTGGCAAGTTCCCCAGGTCAAGTCAGTTGAGGACCTGATCCATGACAATTCATGTCAAGATAAAAAATCAACAAATCATGACATCAGCATAACCGTCCCATGGCAGAGAAATCTTTCCTTGAGTCTAGTTTAGCACAAGGCACATTTATTGAGCAACTGCTCTGTGTCAGCAGTAAGAACATTGCTATAAATATGTTATAAGAAAAGGACATGCCCTTGACTTTCTGGCCCTCCTCCTCAACACTGAAGAAAGTGGCCTCCATGGAGAAAGTAGTCTGTGACCCCTAAAACACATATCTCAGACCACACATCATTCTTTCAACCCCGCAATACAACCATTGTATTACTGCTCATCATGCTTTTCCTTTTTTCTTTTCCTCCCCACATAAACCCTCTCCAGAACATTCCAGGCACTTTGCAATTTCTCCACAAGGCTGCATTTCCAAATACTGTCTTGCCTCTGGCAAGTTCCGCACAGGAGACAGACTCTAAAGGCGGATATGATGTCACTAAGGCAAACGATGGACTTGAAATCACTACAGCAAACGAGGAAGAAAGCAGACAAGCGTACTCACCAAGGTACCCACAGAGCACCTGGGACTGTCTGGCGCACAAGCTGCCCACTGAGCCAGAGGGTGTTGTGACAACTGGGCAGACAGCTAGGAGTTTTAAAAAGCACAGTCATTAGCTATTTTACTGAAGCGATGCCTGACACAGAACTATACAAAGATTAAAGCAGAAGAGGGACTCGCTGAATGTTCGCATCACTCCCTCAGCTATGTGAGGCCCCTGCTGCCCGGGAGCCTGGGGATTTAGGCGTATTCTCGATTCTACTCCCAGATCTCCTGGTTTCCTTTCATCAGCAGAATCCTGACTTCCACTTTCCCTTTAACATTCCCTAGTATTAAAGGGAAAGGTACAGTATGTATATGCGGTGGTAAAATAAATACCTTGATTTATATTAAGGATGAATAAGAAAAGCCATAACCTCCTTTGACAAAAGACATTCCACCTATTAAGAATAAAGCTGCGTTTTTCATTTGGCTGGCCTAGATTTCAGTGCTGTTAAAACCACCTGTCATCATTTATAACTCACAGTATGAGAACTCTCAAATGAGTCAAGAACACAAGTATATATTGGTTTGTTTAGCTACGACTGAAAATGTTAGGGTTCTTTGCCATGCGTTAAACACATCTTCCATGATGGCTGTTCCATCTGGGGATTTCGAACTTCACTTTCCATAAAGCAGTAACAAACATTCATACAGTACCCACCGTATTTTTTAAAAAGAACACACACCTAAAAAAGAAAGACCCTATAAACATTTCTGAGTGTTCAAATGTTTTCCTAATTGTAGTGAAAGTCAATAAATGCAGGGGGTTTTTTTGTTTTTGTTTTTGTTTTTGTTTTTGCATGAGGAAATGTTGATTGAAACTCCTGTTTCATCTTTCATTTCCTGTGAATCTCTGGACAAGTCTGTGAGTTTCCCCAAGCCTCTGTGTTCATTAGTCAGACAAAATGTTACTCCTGAGGTTGTGACAGGACTGAAAAGAAATCCTAAGGTTGAAAAGACAGTGACAAATCAAAAGAGATTATGAAATGTAACCACACTGTTATCCAACCTACACGATGACAGAAGTGCTGGCTGCCTCCTAAACCTGGCCTAAAGAGGATACTTCTGAAGCCCCCACCTAGACTCGCAGCCTCCATTTACTGTATTCAAACAGAGGCTGCTGGTGCCAGGAGTGACACTTCCCACCACTCAGATCTAGCGTGAGCAGTTCTTTTGCCCTACGCCGTAACTTGCCGTTCCCAACCTTTGGCCCACTAAGGAGATGGCAATGACAGGTGTCCCACCTGTGCATCACCCCTTCTAGCAGGAACACTCATTCATGCAAAGGCAGTGCTCTGAATGGCCGGCCCGGCAGAGAAGGCCCAGCAGCACACTCTCGCAGTACATGCTGCTATCACATTGCCCCCATATGCGGCTTCCAGCAGACATCTGCTCACACGTACTCCCACCCCACCAAAACATCTCCATGCTGTTTATTTTTAGAGCCTTCTCCACAACCATTCAGGGAGAAAATATCCCTGAAATTAATAATCAGGGGAGACCGGAAGCTATAATGGGTATAAACTGTTTGTCACAAGATTAGCAAGTCAAACAAAGTCATCTCATTCATATCTGACCTTTCAAAGAAATGCTGCAAGTTATCTTAAACAAAAATCTCAAGAATAGAATCAGAGACCGGCACAATAAACAGAGCGAGCTGCTTGGGGAACAGTGCTTTCTTCTTCAAACTATGGTCTTATGTGTTTCTTTGGGGGGATTTAAATCCTTTTCCTGGGAAACAGCACCTTCTTGAGGCCAATGTATGTGATGGTGCAAAACAGGGACGCTCCTGATCACTTCATTCAAATCCCCCAGGAACCCTAGGAAGTCCCTGTGGGAAGAAGGCATGGTAACTGTTGGGGTCTGCAATCTAACAGTCCTCAAATATACACCATTGGTTTCCCTCACTCCATGAGACAGTTGTAGCACTGACGTCTTTCTTTTTTTTTTCCTTTTTTTCTTTTTTCTTAAGACAAGCAAAAGTGAGCAATAACTTAGAATTAAGACTGAATTGGCGGGGTGGGAAACTGGGTGGGGCTTCTCCCTCAATATCCCCCCTTTACCTCAGATACATGAAGGAAGCAGTATGGAAATGGTGGTCTTACTCACTTCCCTGTAGCCCTTGAACCTTTTTACCCTAATGAACTATGTAAAGATTGTCAAAATATAGTTTTTTTAAAAAGTGTAAAAAAAAAAAAAGACTGAATTGGTGGGCCTGGCAGCTTGGCCTAGCGGCTAAAGTCCTTGCCTTGAATGCCCTGGGATCCATGTGGACGCTGGTTCCAATCCTGGCAGCTCCACTTCTCATCCAGGGCCCTGCTTGTGGCCTAGAAAAGCAGTCGAAGACGGCCCAATGCTTTGGGACCCTGCACCTGCGTAGGAGACCTGAAGGAAGTTCCTGGCTCCTGGCTTCGGATTGGTACAGCACTGGCTGTTGCGGTCACTTGGGGAGTGAATCATCGGTTGGAAGATCTTCCTCTCTGTCTCTCCTCTCTGTATATCTAGCTTTGCAATAAAAATAAATAAGTATTTAAAAAGAAAAAGACTGAATTGGCAAAGATACAAGGGTGCTAACAATGATTACTTAGGTCACAGAAGGCAGTCACTAGTTTCAAAATAATCAATTTTCAACAATTATATGAATTGAGGTAGCATTGTGATCTAGGCATGCAATTTCCTTTTTGAAATTGGAAACGTATTTAATGTATTTATTTGAGTGATTGGGAGACAGAAGGAAAGACAGAAAGAACTCCCATCCCTAGTTCACCCCCCAAATGCCAGAAAGGACTGAGGTTGTGCCAACCCAAAGCCAGGAGCCAATGATTTAATGCAGGTCTCTTGCATGAGTGGCTGGAACCCAACTTCGTGAGGCATCACTTCTGCCTCCTGCATATTAACATGAAGCTGGACCTTGGAGTTGAAACAGGACTCAAACCCAGAGCACTCCAATATGCAGATCCCAGGCAGTGTCTTAACTGTCTGCATCCAACACTGAACCCACATATAGGCCAAGGAAGCTTTGGATATATGTGAAAAATTCTTTATAACATATGAAGTATGTTTAAAATATGAGACATTGGGCCCAGCAGAATGGCCTAGTGGCTAAACCCTTGCCTTGCATGCACTGGGCTCCCAAATGGGTGCCAGATCACGTATGCCCCAGCTGCTCTACTTCCCATCCAGCTCCCTACTTCCCATCCAGCTTGTGGACTGGGAAAGCAGTAGAGGACAGCCCAAAGCCTTGGGACCCTGCATCCCCATCGGAGACCCAGAGGAAGTCCTGGTTCGTGGCTTCAGATCAGTTCAGCTCCAGCTGTTGCAGCCACTTGATAGGTAGAGCAGCGAATGAAAGATTTTTCCCTCTGTCTCTCCTTCTGTCTGCAAATCTGTCTTCCTGCTCTAAATAAGTAAATAAATAAATCTTTAAAAAAATAAATGATGAGACATTTATAATCTTACAGACAACACAACTTAGGAGGACTTGGGTTCTTAGGAATTGAGAGTAGGGGACTATGGGTCACAGAAGTTATGAAAAACAATCCAAGTATTAAAACTTAACAAGGGTAACTTATAAAATAGCCAAGCAATTATGATATTAACTATAAAAGAACGAAGGTTTATATTTGCCTGGGATGACACAGATAACAAATAAAACAAAAAGACAGGGGTCTTTCCTTCCTTGGAGCCCCTCCTGTTACTGTGGCAGGGATTTCTTTCTCACTTTTTCTGAAATAAATCTTGTTGTGCAAACTGGGAAAAAGAAAGAAAGACGGAAGGAAGGAAGGAAGGAAGGAAGGAAGGAAGGAAGGAAGGAAGGAAGGAAGGAAGGAAGGAAGGAAGGAAGATAGATCGTGGTGTTTTCAGACTATGTTATTAAGCTGCTGATTTGAGACTCATCTGGCTTTCTTGTCAAGGTGCAGTTTTATGCGGTTGCCCTTTAAATCCTGAATAGTACATGAGACTGGCAGACAGCGGCTGGGCTTTGGCATGGTAACATGTAAGAAGCATTGGGAAAGGTCTTTGTGACTTTCAGGTTAGAAAGGTCTTTGATATAAGCTCATGTGTGTTCAAAAGACAAATGGAGGAAGATTAAAGAATCTGTCCCCCAGCAGGATTATTTGTCCTGAGCAGCTAGTGGTTTTACATAGTGCCAAAGTCTCCAAAAGTAGGGAGAATGTCTATCTTGCAACAATGAAATGTGAAGCAGCATGAGGTGTTAATAAAAATGCTCCATCACTTTCACATTAAGTTAGCTCTGGTCCAAGCGGCCCCTTCTCCTCCACACAGACATCTAGTGGAGCTCCTGTGATTACAGCAATTCTGCCAGTTCTGTCACTTCCTCCTAACACTACTCTACAGTAAGTTCTTCCTCTTAGAGAATTTTAGTAAATGTTCCTGAGGAAGGGAAAGTTGATCCAAATGTATAATGATCTGGGGTCAGCCTGACTCGAGACCTTCTTTCTAGAATCTGAGTACTTAATGACAAAGAATTAATGAAGTTAGACATGACTCTACACACACAGTTTTACTATTGATGGTGATCTTTCCTGACAGTTGAATTCATCTGAAATACATGTCTCTCCAAGAAAAACAAGCACCAATCCATCTCATTCTACACGGAAAGAAAGAAAAGTACAAGTTTAGCAGGGCAAACACTGGTAGTTCAGGAGTTAGTTCATGGATCTGACTGGTGACTTTAGTTAACACATTTAACAACCTATGGCCTGATAACTATGAAAAGGCACAAATGAAGAAATAAATTGCCATTCAAATCGACATGATTTTCTTAATAGGCCTCAAGCTGTCTTAGATATAAAGCAACGTGGAGTCAGATGCCAGTAACTCAGACAGTAGACTTTAACACACACGTCTGAAGGTAGGCCTTGGCTGCTCAGAACCCACGAGGATGGTTGTCATTCAGCTTCAGTTCAGCCCGGTCACTTCCTGCCCTCTGTAGAACTCCCTGCTTTGTCTCCCTCACCTGTACCTTCAAGGCTCAAAATGCCAAAAATGTGAGCTTGGACATGGGAGCATTTGCAACAAAC